TTATTATGGTGGGTATGATATATGACATTAACACTGTTATCGCGGCATTTATTCTGTTTCTTGAAATATTCGTGTCCAATGAAGGCCAACAACAACAACAGCGTTACTTTTATGCGCGACAGATCAGATCAGATTCCAGATTTTTTACTAATTATAGAAAACATTTCTGATTCGAGATTTTTTTTTGAATCATTAGCTACAAAAAATTTTAATTTATGGCTTTTGTCACATTTGGTTGAAAAAATAAAGCATTTCTAACATTTGGAAACTTTAGAGACCCCTTATTTTTTCCAATTTCGGAAAACATTTCTGATTCCAAAATATTTCAATTGACGAAATTAAGAACTTCACGAAATTCATTATCTCTATGTGATATCGAGGCACGCTACTATTTTACTCTATATAAATTTGGTGTTATCAAAATACTAATCAATTATGAACGGCCCACACTTGGTTGAAAGCAATTTAATATATCAGTTGATAAAGTTCCAAGAAATCACGAAATTAACATTAAATTTAGGCGCCGGCTTTACGACCATGAAAAAGATTATAAAATCAAACATGTACATATATATTAGATTGTCAAATATCCCCCCTCCGCCTTTTTGACTTTTGAATTTCGCGCCTATGTATAAAGCGCTACAGAGCTCGTATCTGTCAATACTATACATCTTTGAAAGGTCTTGACATAACCTATAAAACGACGCTATGCAAGGTTTGGATATATTGGATTGTGTTCAACAGTTATAGACGTGTAAACATGGAATTCCCTAAGGCCGAAATTCGCGTTATTTTAAAGTTTTCCTTCGTTAAATTCAAATCCGCTAGAGAAACGTTCCATGAGATTAATGGTGCTTTGGGAGATGGTACTATATCACTTCGAACTGCGGAGGAATGGAATAAATACATGTAAAGGGTGATACATTTCGAGGTTCCCTACTTTTTTTAAGAAAAAACACAAAAACTTAAAACTTAATGGGAAATATTCATTATAATTCGAAAGAATATTATTTTTCATTTATTTTTATAAGATCATCTCCTCAAATGTTGGCCGCGACTACATCTCAGACAGTCCATCCTTTGAGTAAATTTTTCGATGACTCTTTCGAGCATTTCAACCGGTAACTGGCGAATGACACGCGTCGTGTTTTGCTCCAAGGTCTGAATCGAAGTGGGATTGTCCGCATAGACTTTAGATTTTACATATGTATCCCTACAGAAAAGTCTAACGGTATGATATTAAACAATCTTGGTGGTCAATCGACCGGCACAAAACGTGAAATTATCTGCTCACAGAAGTGTTTTCTCAAAAAATCCAATGATTGGTGGTCTTGTTAAGACTAAATGTCACCAGGAACACGAGCTTCAACCATTGACGGTTACGTTCTCACCGCCATCATTTTTGAAGAAATATGCACCGATAAGTTCACCGACTCATAAAATATGCCAAACCGTTGGTTTTTCTGGATATAATGGCAACTCTTGAATCCCTTCAGGTTGCTCTTCATACGAAATGCGGCAATTTTGTTTGCTTCCATACCCATTGAGCCATTAATGGGTCTCATCGCTGAACAAAAATGTGGCTCGAAAATGTGGGATCTTCTTTCAACTTTTCAAGAGCCCACAGAGTGAAGCGATGTCGTGTGAGAAGTTTCTTGAACAAGTTTTATTGTATTTTATACGCTTTCATTTAAAGATGTCGACGTAAAATGCGCCAAATTGTTCCTTAAGTCAATCCAAGTTGCTGCGAACGGCGCCGAATCGACTCCCCACGGTCCTTGTGTACACGCTTAGCAACGGCTGCTATACATATTTGCTCCAGTGCGTGCTGGACGTGATTTATTCGGTCGAATGAATGCTGGGTCTAAAGATGGGTGATGGTGTTGCGAGTAGTACGTTAAGTAAGTATATTATGTTGCCCATAAGCTGAGCGAAGCGCGCAAACACACATTTTTTACAAAACGTGAATTTTTGTAATAAAGTTGAACGATTTGTAAACCCTGTTCAGGCGTAAGTCTCTCCATGATAAATGCCAAACTATACTGACCAAGGATAGCATGACAGCTTGCCACGATTCACGCGTGATATGTCAAAAAAATGCTATTTAAGAAAGCTCCTCTATTGGATCACTCGTTAAATGCATATATAATATACATTAACTTTACAACTTTTATTATTACTGTAAATTTCGCTGATAGTACGAGTACCAAAGCAGAAAATGATATGTCAAAAAAGAGTTATAGCAGCTGTTTTTCAAATTCCACACGATATCATGCGTTGAGTGTCATGCAAAGGGTCAACATAAAAAGTGGAAAAATAATTCAAAAGCAGTAAAAAACCACATATATTATGGAATTGACATAAAATAATCGGGGAAATATTTTCGCAATTTCAAATAAGAAAAAAAAAACGTCAAATTACACTAGCACATAAAAAAAATTTCATTAAAACGCAAACGATATTAAAATAGGTCCTATCCCGCGCGTCTCTGGGAACGCTCGTCCAGTCCAGCAGTTAAGTCACTTCGGTGCGCTGGCCGCTACGCCTTTGCTATGCGTCATTGCCTTATTTTATACTTTTTTGCTTTGTCCACGCTTTTTCTACACATTTTCAAAACGCTTTTTCATCATTACTGCCCGTGACGCCCGTAATACACACACTTAGCTGGGTATATACATATGTATGTATATAATGTATATATGTAGGTACCTTGTAGCTTTTTTATGTTTTTATGTGAATTTCCGTTTATTACGTTAGGGGTACTTTTTCTGGAACGTTTTTCTGTTCATAATTTTTGTCATTACGTTGACGAATGTATGTGTGCGACTGAATATATATTTTTTATATTTTTTTCCACGGTTGGCGCAAAATTACCGCAATGTTATTTTTCAATGTCCGTGCCTACTATCTCGCCGTAGTTCGCTTCTATATTTCTCATTTGGCGCTTTTTTACTCGCCTTCGAGTTTTTTATGACTTCACAGTGTGTTCGATTTTTTATCATTACTCTAATAATCAATATACAGTGTGTTTGAAAATCATGTGTATCCTTGGAAAACGGTCGTTGTGTTTTTAAGCTTCCATAGGAGAACAGTTAGAGATATTGTATGTATAAAAAGGTGATATATGTATGTATATAGTAACAATCTTAATTTTTCCTTTGTATATTAGTTCTAGAAAAAAACCTAAACTTCAGCTGCACCGAGGCGAAAAGGGTATAAAATGATCTTATATTGGTTTTGATGGATCTGTTTGTATGGCAGCGACATCCTATAGTCGCCCGATGTTGGTAGTTCCAACAAATGAGCAGCCGCTTGGGGCGAAAAGGGCGTGTGCAAAATTTCATAAGGATATCTCAACAGCTGTGGGTGTGAGACAGACGGAAAAATTGACATGACATAACATAAAAACTTTCGCACCTCTCTTTAATTAACTGAAAAAATAGTTATCCCAGATCTAATGCCAGAAGAATTATAGCTGAGAATTAGCTAAACCTTAATGCTTCGAATATAATTTCTTGGAAGAATTTGTAATATAAAAGTTTTTGAATACTCACGCAATACTTTTTAAATTGATTTTCAACTCCGTTCCATCGTTCACATACCTGGAAAGATAAGAATTTGATTATTTCATTACTAAAACGGTTTTCATTTTGTATTAAAAACAACAATGATCATTACTTTTTAGGTTTCTTAAGATATTATTACTAGCAACTAAGGACTCCACCAGAACTCAGCGTGTCTTGTGAGAAGCTTTGCTTAAAAATCTGAAGAGTAGTTTTTCTTATTTTGTCTTCTAAGCGAAAGTAAGGAAAGCCTAAAGCTCAGGTGGCGTAATTCTCACACATAAAACCAACCGGAAACTCTACCAGAATTTGTGGCGTCTTGTGAGGGACTTTACTTAGGCATCTTAGAGCTATTTCCTGTATTATATGAGAAGGAAAAAAGTGCTTAAAGCTCACATAACGTTATTTTACACACAAAAGCAACTAGAAACTCTTCCAGAATTCGAGGTGTCTTGTGAGAAGCTTCGCCTAGACGCCCGAAGAATATTTTTAGTTATTTGCTGTCTTTTATCTGAAGGTAAGAAGAGCTTAAAGTTCAGATGTCGAAATTCTCACACATAAAAGCCACTAGAAACTCTATCAGAATTCGTGGTGTCTCCAGAGACGCTTTACTTAGACGTCTTAAGGGCATTATGAGTAATTTTCTATCTTCTATGAGAAGGTTAGGAGAGCTGAAAGCTCACACAGCGTAATACTCATACATAAAGTCATTTAGAAACTCCAATAGAACTCAAGGTGTCTTATGATAGACTTCCGAGACTTAAGTGTCGTAAGGGTATTATGAGTATATTGAGTATTTTCTGTTTTCTATGAGTAGCTAAGGAGAGCTTAAAGCGCATATAACGGTTTTCATATTTTATACAAATAATCAAGAAAGAGCTTAAAACTCTGACTAAAAATTTCTCGCACATACACAAATACAAATCGAAAATGTACAAGAACAAGGAGAAGCAAATAAATCTAATATATTTAATTTCTACTAAAAAAAAAGCTTCGCTTAAAGCTCATAAGCTCTTAGAACTTACATTAACCTATTTTAATCGCAAAACCTCAGCTCGCAATAAAAAAAATGATTGGTCTGAGAAGGTAAAAGGAGCCTGATTGTTGAGGTCAAAACAAACTAGGAACTCTTCCAGAACTCGAGGTGTCTGTTGAACATATTAACCCTGAGTTTAAATAGTGTTCTGCCTCCTCCATGTTTTATAAAAAATAACCCCAGGAAGAGCTATAAGCTGTTATTAAGTATTTCTCACACATAAAGATAGGATCAGATGTACTGAGAGAACCCAATAAATTTAATATACTTGAATTTCTACTACAAAAAAAGGTTCAAAAAAAAGCTTCGCTTAAAGCTCATAAGCTCTTAGAACTTATATTAACCTATTTATGCCGCATAACAGCAAGTCTATCGCCATAAAAAAAGGTTTCGTGGAACCTTTTAGCATTATCATAAATATACATGTGAATGTACATACATATATGTAGCTATTAACAAATATGTAACTACATATTTGTATGATATTTTAAAAATCGCAAACCTCTTGAGCAATGCATCACTTGTACACACACATGCATCCTCATGGTACTTATGAAAGCCGGAAATGTTGCTCTATGATTTCTATACATTAACCCGCCAATAAATATTTCCACTTAATTGTTGTTCTAAAAATTTCCAAGAATTTAACTAACATACATAAAAGTCCACTTTAAAACCAAAGCCTGAAAGGTGAACAAAGAAAAGAATCCAAACACGCATGCAACTGCAAAAAGAACGCAACAACGCGAAGTATAACGAAGAAGTCGAGGAGTCGAAAGGAATTACAAGTAAAAAAACACGAAATACTTTTCTATTATTTTTTCCATTTCCATTTTTTCATTTCAACTTTTTCTTTTCGCAGCGCTTACTTACATATATCTGTTGCACATAGAGTACATAAGTATGTATGTACATAACTAGAAGCGCACCATAACGCATCGGAGCTATAAGTACACAAAGTATGCAATGTGTTAGCAACGTCTTGCCAATAGAATAAATCGCAATTGCAGTGCGAAAAAAATCTGGAATAGAACATCAAAACGAAATGCATGCGGCGGGCACGCATCCATATAAGCGCGAAAGTGGAAAACTGCAAGTTGCATGCAACATAGAGCACATCTTGCCACTGCTGGCTGGCCGTCCAAGCGCTGGCGATGCTGCCACGCCGTGCTGGCCGCTCATAAATGGTCGTAAATCGTAGCACGAATGCCGACAGTGTCGCTGGACCAGTCGACTCGCCAGCGCGACGAACCGAGCGCGCCACGCAGCTCATCAGGGCAACACACACGCGCACGCGTACGCACAGCCACACTCACGGCCGTGCTTCGAGCCGCAGCAGCTGTTGCAGTGCCATTGGCAAAAACAATAAAGCAACCGGCAATGGTAAAATCAAAATCAAAGCCAAAACCAAAGCCAAAGCCAAAGCCAAAGTCACTGCGCGCCAAGCAAATAAGGCCAAGTGCAATAACCAACTCATTTATTGGCGCGTTTGCGGATGTTGGTAAGTCGCGCGCTCGCAGAATCTGCCAGAGCAAAAATGAAAAACAAATGCACACAATACATACAAACACATAGACACGCAGATATCAATGCACTCGCTGGCAAGTAAACAACATTAGATTATGTGGTGCGGTCTACGCACTCGCAACTGCGAAATTGTAAAAATTTTAGTCGCAAGCCGAGAATGTGCCGAGTTCTCGAACTATTGTGAACGCGTCAGCGTGTTCGTTGGCAAGTTTCAGGTTGCGCGTTCCACTGCAATTAAAGAATTGACCATTCTTGATCTCACATGCAGCTCCGTGTATGTTTTTATTAATTTTTTTGTAATATGTACATATGTGTATATGTATGTATGCATTTCGTTTCTCGTGCCATCGACCGCCCTCGTTCCACACCTCACACTTTCAATAGACATCTCGCAGCAACCGCCATTGGCGCGTACATTCGCCTGCCTTCGTCGTAAAATCATCGCTTACAGATGAAGTTTAGAGGGCTTAGAAGCCAGCCGCCTGTTGCTGCATCCTAAAGTATGTATGTATGCTCCTGTGCCGCAGTTAAGTAGTTGGAAAGACATTTCTCATGCAGCTACATACATTTGTAGATACTTGTATATCGATTATTTATATGTAAAGAAATAGTTGAAGTTAGCATTTTGGATTTTTTCCTATTTCGATGTGAACGGATGTGTTGTTATAAGTCACGTTACATATGCAGGCGTATAGTTATTACAAAAAGTAATAAAACTTATCTTGCTTTCGTTAAAATATTTTTTTTTCTCAAATATTTACACAACTTTGGATTGATACTGAGAATTTTACGTATAATAATATAAATTTGAGGTTTTTTCAACTTTTTGCACATTCTCGTCTATGGTGTATTCTTCCAAGTAACTAACGTAACGACTAATATGTTACAGGTTTTAGCTGATTTTACAACAGCGCATCAGTAATCTTTCTTACGCTGTTTGGCGCCAATCGGAGATTCCAATTGTAACTAGGTCCTTCTCCACCCGCTCTCGAGTGGAGGTTTTCCTTTTCCTCTGCTTCCCCCGGCGAGTACTGCGACGAATACTCTCAAATCTAGAGTATTTTCATCCATTCGAACGACATCACCTAACCAGAATAGCCGCTGCATCTTAATTCGAACTAAGTATGTCAATCTCGTCGTATAACTCGTAAAGCTCATCGTTCCATAGACTGCTGTATTGGCCGTTACCAATACGTACAGGACCATAATCTTCGCAGAACATTTCTCTCGAAAGCTCATAACGCCGACTCAGATGTTGTCATCGTACATGCCTATAGCAGGACAGGAATAATGAGTGAGTCTGTGAGTTTGGTAGCAGAACTAACGTGCGGTTGTTGAGGCCAATGTTACCAACTAATAAAAAAGTTAGGTCGTATGAAATTAGGTTCACTTAAGGAATGGTAGAACCGACAGTTAAAAGTCCGAGCTTTGATAAAAAAGAATAGCGAAATGCAAACTGCTCAAATGTTACATTAAATCTGCGCGCATAAACCGAATTCAAAAAAAGTTTCCTAGATTGATACAACCGTTTTTGTGTTCGTTTGATCTCCATAAGTCCGCACGTGTGTTTGTCGAATTTTACCATGAAAAACTGTATTGAAACTGTGTTATTTGCCTAAAATTTATAGCTCCAATGGAATTATTTCTACGGAATCGTTGAAAATGTTGCAGAAATGTGTTGAAGAGTCTAATTTATCATAAGCAACATATGTGAGTGACCCAAACAATCGACGAAGTCTTCAAAAACGACCACCCACCTTGGTTAATGTCGATAGCCGATTGAAAATTTTAAAGAAACGGCTAAATCGTCGCATTGGTATCAGAAAGGTAGCAGAAGGTCTCCACATCTCGTATGGATCGTCTCAACACATTCGATTATTGTTTTAGGTATGAAGTCTCCTGACAAAAGAGCTGAATCATTTGTAAATACGATGATGAGTTGAGCTCGCAAAAGAAATGCTTTTAGATGAGAACTTTACATTTCTTAAAGACAAGTTGTGGGCAGAGCCGGATCGAGACAATTTACCGCGCTAGGCAAATGAAAAATATTCAGCCCTCTCAGCCAATTTTGACTTAGAAACCTGTTAAGGGTATCGCTGTCCTAAAATTCTTGCATCCTAGACAAGTGCCTATATGGACGGACCGGCCATGGAGGTGGAATTATGAATATGACGTCGATATTAACTAAGACTCCATTCGCTAGATCACTGCAAAAATGAGCAGAAGCCGATAAAGTCGGAATTCGATGAAGACACCGAAAAAAAAGTAATAATAATAGTAGATAATATGCTTGTATAAGCTCAGGAGCCTATTTTGAGGCGATTTTAAAGTTTTATATTAAATAACGTAATATGTCCTGGTCAAATATGTTACTTTGCGAGCATTATTGTTCAGATTTCAAAAGGTTCAGTGAACACTACCTGCAGAGCTGTTTCCATCAAAATTTTCTTTGCACAGATAAGGAGATCTTTGCTAG